CCAGTGCTCCCAGTGCCCCCCCCATCCTTCCTCAGCCATAGTGGGCCCTGATGCCACCTCTGCTTGTCCCCAAGGGTTCATGAGTGTCCCCAAGTGTCCTTGAGGGTCACCAAATGTCTCCAAGTGTCCCTGAATGTCACCAAGTGTCCCCAAGTGTCCCCATTGCTCCCCACAGTGTCCTCAGCCCAGTGCTCCCAGTGCCCCCCCCATCCTTCCTCGGCCATAGTGGGCCCTGATGCCACCTCTGCATGTCCCCATGGGTGCCTGAGTGTCCCCAATGGTCTCTGAGTGTCCTTGAGGGTCCCCAAGTGTCCCCAAATGTCCCCACTACTCCCACTGTGTCCCCAGCCCAGTACTCCCAGTGCACCCGTCCGCTCCTTCCTTGGCCATAGTGGTCCCTGATGCCACCTTGGCAGGTCCCCAAGTGTCCCCCCCAGGGCTGCCCTGGTATCCCTGAGTGTCCCCAAGTGTCCCCATTGCTCCCCGCAGTGTTCCTACCCCAGTGCTCCCAGTGTCCCCCCACCTCCCTCCTCAGCTACAGTGGGCCCTGGTGCCACCTCTGCATGTCCCCAAGTGTCCCTGAGAGTCCCCAAGTGTCCCTGAATGTCCCCATGTGTACCCAGGGGTCTCCCTTGTGTCCCCATCCCAGTGCTCCCAGTGCCCCCTCACCTCTTTCCTCCTCCATACTGGGCCCTGATGCCACCTTGATATGTCCCCCCCTGTCCCCAAATGTCCCCACATGATCCCAGTGCTTCTCTGGTGCTTCCCAGTATCCCCTAGTGTCCTCCAGTGCTCTCCCAGTGCCCCCCAGTGCCCTAACCCTGAGCGTCCCCACGGTGTCCCTGTCCTGTGGGTACTCCTGGTGTCCCCATAACTTGGGTGGCCATGTCCCCAGGGTGTCCCCATCCCATGGGTGCCTTATTCTGTCCCTAGCATGTCCCCATTCCATGATGTCCCCAGGGTGTCCCTGTCCCATAGTGTCCCTAGCATGTCCCCAGGGTGTCCCTAGCATGTCCCCATTCCCTGGGTGTCCCCAGGGTGTCCCCATCCCATGGGTGCCCCACCTGTGGTGTCCCCAAGGTGTCCCTGTTCCATGGTGTCCCCAGGGTGTCCCCAGAGTGTCCCCATCCCATGTGTGCCCCATCCTGTGGTGTCCCCAGGGTGTCCCCATCCCATGGGTGCCTCCAAGGGTCCCCATAGTGGCACCCACTGATAGGACCGTGTCCCCGCAGAGATCCCCTCGGTGACACCGCGCTTGGCCGCCCGCAACCAGACGTCCTTCCGTGTGACCTGGCCCCGCCCCCCCGTGCCTGTGGATGGCTACCAGGTGGCCCTCATCCCTCTGGTGAGCTGGGGACAGGGACAGGGGTGGGGACAGGTCCCCGGTGCCATGGTGGCCCCACTATGGTGGCCCCAAGGTGGCCTTTGTCCCCAGGATGAGGTGGTATCTGCAGCCACCTGCTGTTGCCCCACTGGGGGACACCATAAGGGTGTCCCCAAGGTGTCCCCAATGTGCCTGTTGTCCCCAGAGCAAGCCAGTGCTCAGGCCACCTTCTGCTGCCTACCCCGGGGGTGGGGACATCTCCCCAGCATGTTCCTTGTCCCCACGATGAGCCCTGGTGGTGTCACCCATCTGCCACCTGGCTTAGGGATGTGTCCCCCCACAGTGTCCCAAATGTGTCCCCAATATGTCCCTTGTCCCCAGGATGAGCCAGCAGCTGTGGCCATCCTCCTGCTACCTGGCTTGGGGACAGGGATATGTCCCCAGCGTGGTGTCCCCAACATGTCCCCTGCCCCCAAGATGGGCCACCTACCTTCAACCCTGCTTAGGGACCAGGACATGTCCCCACCACAATGTCCCCAATATGTCCCCAGTGTGTCCCCAACATGTCCCCCACCCCCAGGACAAGCCATTGGCTGCAGCCACCCGCCTGGCTCAGGGATGAGGACGTGTCCTCACCACCCTGTTCCCAGAGTGTCCCTCCTTAGCTGTCCCCAACGTGTCCCCAGTGTGTCCCCAACATGTCCCCCAGCCCTGGGAGAAGCTCTTGGCTGTGGCCACCTGCCTCCTGCCCTACTCAGGGCCAGGTCCCACCATGGTGTCCCCAGCGTGGCATGTCCCTTGTCCCCAGGATGAGCCAGCGGCGATGACCACCCATGAGCTACCCGGTTCCAGTGTCGCCTTCGAGGTGACAGGGCTGGCACCCGGCCACGCCTTCGAGCTCTTTGTCCAGGCCCAGCGGGAGAAGCACCTCGGGGCACCCGGCACCCTGCGCGTCCGCACCCGTACGTGTCACCCGCTCAGCGCGGGGACCCCGAGGGGACGGGAGCGGGGTTGGGGACACCACGGGGATGACAGTGGGTGTGGGGACAAACCAGGGGATGGCAATGGGTGTGGGCGTGGGGACAAGGGTGGGGATGGTGCATGGATGGGGTAGGGGATGGTGATGGCTTGGTCATGGGTGTGGGGACAGCATGGGAGCAGGGACAGAGATGGGGAGGGGATGGGGACAGCATGGGGACAGGGACAAGGGCAGGGATGGGGACAGATATGGAAAGGGCATGGGGACAACAGTGGGAACAGCATGGGGATGGGGACAGGGACAGGGACAAGGATGGCACAGAGATGGGAACAGGGGTGACACGGTGTCATGGGCAAGGGGATGGGGCTGTCATGGGGACAGGGACAGCACAGGCGTATGGTTGGGGATGGAACAAGGATGGGGACAGCGATGGCCTGGTCACGGGTGTGGGGACAACGATGAAAATGGTTGTCCCCATGGGCTTGGTGACAGCACGGACAGCATGAGGACAGGGGTGGGGACAGCCATGGAGATGGCATCGGCATGGGGACAGAGCCAGCGTGGGCATGGGGATGGCACGAGGATGGGGACAGCATGGGCACAGGCATGGTGACAGGGACAACATGGGGATGGTGACGGGGACAGCGGGGTGGCATGGGGGTGGCATGGGGGCAGGGACAGCATGGGGACAGGCAGGACGCAAGCATGGGGGTGAGGATGGCACGGACATGGGGACAGGGACAGGATGGTGACAAGCATGGGGATGGCAGAGGGACGGGGACAGGGATGGGAATGGCCCAGCTACAGGGTTGGGGACAGGGACAGTGCCTGCAGCTTCTGTCCGTCCCCACGTGTCTGTGTGTCCCCACGGCTCTGCGGGCCCACTTGCGTCTGTCTGTCCCCTTGGGCCCTCTGTCCCCTTGGGCCCGTCTATCTGTGTCTGTCCCCATCTGTCCCCATGGGACCATGTGTCCCCATGGGTCTGTCTGTCCCCATGGGTCCATCTGTCCCCATGGGCTCATCTGTCCCCATGGGTCCATCTGTCCCCATGGGACTGCGTGTCCCCATGGGTCCCTGTGTCCCCACAGGTTGGTCTGTCCCATGGGACTGTGTGTCCCCATGGGTCTGTCTGTCCCCACGGGACTGTGTGTCCCCATGGACTTACCTGTCCCCATGGGTCTGTCTGTCCCCATGGGTCGGTCTGTCCCCATGGACTTGTCTGTCTCCATGGGTCTGTGTGTCCCCATGGACTCGTCTGTCCCCACGGGACTGTGTGTCCCCATGGGTCTGTCTGTCCCTGTGGGTCTGTGTGTCCCCATGGACTCGTCTGTCCCCATGGGTCCATCTGTCCCCATGGGTCTGTCTGTCCCCATGACTCCACACGTACCCACACCTCCTGGTGCTTCCCCCAGCATCCCTCTGTTGCCTGGGTCTGGATGTCCCCAGTCCGTCCCTGTCAGTCTGCCTGTCCCAGTCTGTTCCCATGAGTCTGGGTGTCCCCAGTCTGCCCCCATGCATCTGTCTGTCCCTTCCCATCTCCATCCATCCCTGTCTCCCCCCCGTGGGTAACCGGGCTCTGGCAGACGGGGACCTTTGGGGACAGATTGATGACCCCGGTCCCCTTTGCTCTCACAGTGCTTGCCCAGACTCTGCCCACCCACGGGGGGTCCCCAGGGTCCCCTCAGGGTTCCCTGGGGTCCCCGGCATCACCAGTGGCCCCAGCGTCACCATCAGTCCGAGGGTCTCCGGCATCCCCAAGGTCCCCAGCGTCACCAGGGTCTCTGGGATCACCGGCATCACCAGTGTCACCAGATGCATCCTTGGGGTCACCAGGGTCTTTGGGGTCACCAGCATCCCCAGCATCTCCAAGGTTTCCAGCATCCCCAGTATCTCGAGGGTCACCGACATCCCCAGGGTCACCAGCGCCCCCAAGGTCCCCAGAGTCACCAGCATCCCCAAGATCACCTGCATCTCCACGGTCTCCAGTATCACCACAGTCCCCTGCATCACCTCCATCTCCATGGTCCCCGGTGTCCCCAGCATCCCCACTCTCCCCAGTGCTCCCGGGTGGCCCATCTCTGCATGACCTGGGGGCCAAGCTCTCGTCCTACAATGGCTCCTTGCTGCAGCGCTTGGAGAGCCACCTCCGGGCTACAAAATTCCCACTTCGGGGCAACCAAACGGTGCCAGCAGTGGCCCGCGCCATCCTCTCTTACCTTCTACGCCGCAGCCCAGCCCTGTTGCGTCACCAACTCCTCCGCCAGATCCCCCACCCCAAGCCCCATTTGATGCCAGGAGCTGCTGGTGAGGCTCTGGTGGACCTGGATGGGCTACGGGGCCACGCAGAGACCGTGGTGATCCGTTATCGGCTCCTGGAAGAGCCAGAGGGGGCCGAGGGGGAGCTGCAGGTGCCAGGGGACACGGCGGTGGTCCGGGTACCAGGGCTGGTGCCGGGGGCCAGGTACCGGGTGGAGGTGCACGGCGTGGTGCGGGGGCACGTCTCCAAGTCCTACACGTTCCTGGTGACGGCAGGTGGGTGATGGGGATGGAGCTGGGGACAACGTTGCATGGGGACGTCCCATAAGCCCCCACTTCTCTGTTGGGTGCAGGGGTAGATGGCACCAATGAGCCGCCGCTGGGCTGGGAGCACCTGTATGAGATGGAGTTGACAGAGCCACAAGGTGCCGTAGCCAAAACAGGTACCATCGGGTGGTCGACGGCAGCAGTGGGAGAGGCTGGGGTGGTCAGGCTGACCTGCGGTTGGTTGAGAAGATGGGGATGGTTGAGTGGGATGGTGGTTGGATGGTTGAGTGGACGGATGGAAGGTTGGGTAGATGGGCGGGTGGGTGGATGGATGGAAGGTTGGATGGATGGATGGATGGAGGGAGGGACAGTGGTTGGATGGGTGGATGGATGGTTGGATTGGTAGGTGAATGGATGGATGGGTGGGTGGTGATTGGATGGATGGATGATGGTTGGATGAATGGAAGGTTGGATTGATGGATGAGTGGATGGTTGACTGGGTGGAAGAATGGGTAGGTGGGTAGATTCAAAGACTGATGTAAGGAAAAGTGAAAGGAAAACCAATCCTTGAATGGATGGAAGTCTGGAGCCTTGAATGGGCAAATGAGCGGACAGACAGACAGACAGAGGGGCAGGTGGATGGAACAATGGACAAATAGCAAAATGAACAGGCAGTTGGGTGGACGGGCGGATCCAACACCCAGCTGGATGAATGGGACCATGGGTGGGTCCTTGGACAGGTGAGTGGGAGGGCAGATGGTTTAGCAGAATGATGCAGGGGGGGCTGAATCTTCACATTCTCATTGTCCTCTCCCCATGGCAGTGCCAGCCCCGCCATTGGAGGACCCACCTCCGCGGCCCCGCCTGGGCGAGCTCACAGTTTCCCACGTGAGCCCCGACTCGGTGCAGCTGGAGTGGAGCATCCTCGAGGGCACCTTTGACTCCTTCACGGTGCAGTACCGGGATGTGCATGGCCAACCTCAGGCACTTGCAGTTGACGGGGGTTCCCGCATGCTGACCGTCCCCGGCCTGGCACCATCCCGCCGCTACAAGTTCAACTTGTACGGGGTGTGGGGTCGGAAAAAGATAGGTCTTATCTCCACCGAAACTGTCACAGGTGAGGGGGGCTGTGGGCCCCATCTGTGTCCTCTGCGGGCGCTGGGTTTGGAGAACGTCCTATGTGTCCTGCATTGTCCCATCTCTTTTGCAGCCCCAGCAAAGGAGGAACCCCAATCGCAGCCAATCCTGGGCGAGCTCACGGCCTCCCACGTGAGCCCCGACTCGGTGCAGCTGGAGTGGAGCGTCCCCGAGGGCACCTTTGACTCCTTCACGGTGCAGTACCGGGATGCCCAAGGCCAGCCCCAGGTGCTGCCCGTGGACGGGGGTTCGCGCACGGTGACCGTGCCGGGGCTGTCACCGTCCCGCCGCTACAAGTTCAACCTGTACGGGGTGTGGGGTCGGAAACGTCTGGGCCCCGTCTCCACCGACGCCGTCACAGGTGAGGGGGGCTGTGGGCCCCATCTGTGTCCAACTGGGGCTCTGGGTGTGGATCAGGGCAGGAGCTGGGACAGGGCCTGTGCTGGTGCCGTGGGGCTTGTGTAAATGGGAACCTGTTGGTCACTGCCTGGACTGGGTGGAGGTTTGGCTGGACGCAAGGTTGGAGGGATGGAGGGACAAATGTATGAATGGAGGCTGGGAACGATTGGAGATTTATGGACGGACGGACGGGTTTCGTGCTTGGATGAATTTTTGCCTTTTTGGGTGACTGAGAGGTTGGAAGGCGCATGGATGGATGGGTGGAAGAATGGATGGAGAGTTGTTGAATGAAGAATGGTTTGATGGGTCCTTGGCTGGTTGGATGGATGGATGGATGCGTGGATGGGTGGATCTTGCCCCTGTACATTGTGCTGGTGACGCCGCACATCGAATACTGGGTTCAGTTTTGGTCCCCTCACTACAAAAAGGACACAGAGTTACTCAAACATGTCCAGAGAAGGGCTACAAAGCTGGTGCAGGGTCTGGAAGACACGTCCTGTGAGGAGCAGCGGAGGGAACTGGGGGGGTTAGTCTGGAGAAGAGGAGGCTGAGGGGAGACCTCCTGGCCCTCTACAACCACCTGAAAGGCAGCTGCAGAGAGCTGGGTCTGAGCCTCTTCAGCCCAGTAGAAAGTGACAGGACAAGAGGGAATGTCCTCAAGTTGCGCCAGGGACAGTTCAGACTGGATATTAGGAAGCTTTTCTTTCCAGAAGGGGTTGTTGGGCGTTGGAACGGGCTGGCCAGGGAGGTGGGGGAGTCCCCATCCCTGGAGGGGTTCAAGAGTCGGGTGGATTTAGAGCTTAAGGATATGCTGTAGGTGGGAACTGTGCTAGGAGAACGGTTGGACCAGATGATCTCCAGGGCCCTTTCCGACCGAGATGATTCTGTGATTCTGGGATAGGTGAAAGGTTGAATGAGGGTGTGTCTGGTTTGTGATCCGGGTGAGCGATGGGATGATTGTGTGGAGATGGAGTTGGACAGAGGATGGAAGGGTGGAGGAG